GAGATTTGTCGATAGCTCAGGTTGAGAAGCTCCACTACCTGAAGACTTGCTTAAAGGGTGAGGCGGAGCTCTTGGTACGCAACATCACTACTACGGGTGATAATTACGAAAGCGCGTGGAAATTGTTGAGCGACTACTATGAAAACAAACGCTTGTTGGTCCGCGCCTATCTTGCGAACTTCATCTCGCTACAGAAGATGGAGAGTGAATCTCCGGCCGAGCTTCGCAAAATCTTCCATTGCCTGAAGACCACCGTTAGCTCGTTGGAAAACATTGGCCGACCGATCGATTGCAGTGAAGATTTGTTTGTCTATTTAGCCGTCGACCTCCTCGACCCGCGCTCTCGTCGCGATTGGGAAAACTCGATTGGCGACACGAAAGAATCGCCATCGTTCGATACTCTCGAGCTGTTTCACGACAGATGGCTCCACACCTTAGAAGCGATGCAGCCGATCAAAGCCGAGAGCCCCGCGAGCAAGACAGAGTCCAGCTCACTAAAGTACACACGCAGCCATCTCACTCGAAAACAAGAGAGCAAGCCTGATGCGAAGCTAGGCCGCTGTTCGTTGTGCCAACGAGACCACTTTCTGATGCACTGCGAGGAGTACAAGAAGAAGACAGCCCAGGAACGGAAACAGATTGTCGAGCAAAGAAAGTTGTGCCTTAATTGTCTCGGCAGGCATCAAGTAGGCGAGTGCGCCTCCAAAAGGACGTGTTCGGTGTGTGAGGCTCGTCACCACTCTTCGCTGCACGAGGCTTACTGCGATAACGCCGTCGCGAAGTCGTCACACGTCGCGCAGGGGCCTTTCGATCAGCCTACCACCGTGCTCCTCGCGACCGCTCGCGTTTGCGTGGCCGACCGTCACGGCATCTTACACCCGGCGCGCGCGCTCATCGACCAGAGCTCGGAGTCATCAATCATCTCCGAGCGCCTCGCGCAAAGGTTAAAGCTGCCGCGTTCACAAGTCTCAGTAACAGTTTTCGGAGTTGGGGGGCAGAAATCCGGCAAAGCCAAGGGTCGCGTCGCGCTTTCGCTGTCACCGCGACTCGGAGGAACGGCGATGTCCGTCCCAACCATGGCTGAGGTCAAGGAAAAGCAAAGGCAGCTCACCTTGATTTGCAGGGCGGGCGGCTTCCCTCTCAAGAAATGGTCGGCAAACTCTGCCGAGCTGCTCGTGGCCCTGCCAGCGGAGGACCTCTTACAACGAGCTCCTCGATGGTGGCAGCCCGGAGAGAGCCACTCGACTTTGGGCCTCCGGTGGCATCCTCACGAGGACTCGTTTGCGTTCTCAACGCCACCGCTTTTGCTCTCAACTGTAACAAAAAGAACAGTCCTGTCATTAACTGCGCGACTGTTTGACCTGATGGGATGGCTCGCCCCCACCACAGTGCGAGCCAAAATTATGATACAGGCGACTTGGTTGCTAGGGGTCGACTGGGACACCCCACTGCCTGAAGGCGATGTGCAGAAGTGGCAGGAGTTCCAGATCGAGCTCCCCTGCCTAGCGCTCATCCGCGTTCCCCGTGGGCTCACGGGAAGGACGGCTTACCGACGTGAAATCCATGGCTTCGCCGACGCCTCGGAGAGGGCCTATGCGGCCGTCACGTACCTGCGAACCGAAACCTGGGACGGGAAGATCAACGTCACCTTGCTGGGCGCAAAAACGAAGGTCGCTCCGTTAAAGCAGGTGACATTACCACGCCTGGAGCTTTGTGCGGCGACGCTGCTCTCTTGGCTTGTCGGCCACATCAGCCGCGTCTTGGAGGCCTCGGACATCCCTATGCATCTTTGGTAAGACTCAACTGTAGCCTTG